GGCAGGAACACAGAGAGTCATTGCACCAAAAAGAATTGGTTGACATTCAGTCATTTCAGAAGGTAGCATAGGATCAAGAATCAATGCAACTGAAGGAAGAAGTCAAAGCTGCACTGAAGGAATTGGAGAAAAACAAGGCTCCAGGAATTGATGGAATGCCCACTGGGATGTTTCAAGAAACGGATGGAATGCTGGAAGTGCACACACATCCATGCCAAGAAATTTGGAAGACAGGTACCAGGCCAACTGACAGAAAGAGATCCACACTTGAGCCCATTCCATTGAAAGGTGATCCAACAGAATGCAGAAATGATTGAACAATATCATTAATATCACATCCAAGTAAAATTTTGCTGGAAATTAAAAAAAAAAAAATGGTTACAGCAGTCCATTGACAGGGAGCTAGTGGAAACTGAAGCCAGTATAAGGGTATCATTGCTGATGTTAGCTGGATTTTGGCTGAAAGCAGCGAATACCAGAAAGATGTTTACTCGTGTTTTATTGACTATGCAAAAACATCCAACTGTGTGGATCATAACAAATTGTGAATATCATTATGAAGAATGGGAATTCCAGAACATAGAGTTGTGCTCATGAGGAACCTGTACATAGACCAAGAGCCTGTCATTTGAACTCAACAAGGGGATACTGCATGGTTTACAATCAAGAAAGGTGTGCATCAGTGTTGTGTCCTATACCTTCCCTATTCAACCCGTACACTGAGCAAAGAATCTGAGAACATGGACTGTATGAGGAAGAACACAGCATTAGGATTGGAGGAAGACTCAAGCAACCTGAAATACGTAGGTGACACCACCTTGCTTGCAGAAAGCAAGGAGGACTTGAAGTGTGTACTGATGAAGACCAAGGACTACAGTCTGCAGTATGGATCACACCTCAACATAAAGAAAACAAAAATCCTCACAACTGGACCAACAAGCAACATCATGACAAACAGAGAAAAGATGGAAGTTGTCAAGGATTTCATTTTACTTGGATGCACAATCCATGCCTGTGGAAGCAGCAGTCAAGAAATTAAACAATACATCGCACTGGGCAAATCTGTGCAAAACACCTCTCTAAAAATGTGCTAAAGAACAAAGATGTCACTCTGTCCTTCAGAGGTGTCCTTCAGTGCACCTGACCCAAGCCACGGTGTTTTCAGTTGCCTCATGTGCACATGAAAGCTGGCCAATGAATGACAAAGACTGAAGAAGAATTGTGGTGTTGGCGAAGAATACTGAAAATACCAGGGACTGCCAGGAGAATGAGTAAGTCAGTTTCTAAGAAGCACAGCTGGAATGCTGCTTGGAATTGAGATGGTGAGACTTTGTTATACTTCGGTCACTTTATCAGGAGAGAGCAGTCCCTGGAGAAGGACTCTGTGCTTGATAAAGCAGAGAACCAGTGAACAGGAGGAAGGCCCTCAACAAGATGGACTGACACAGTGGCTGCGACAACGGGTTCAAACGCAGCAACAGCTGTGAGGATGGGGCAGGACTGGGCGCCGTTTCGTTCTGTTGTACACGGGGTCACCATCAATCAGAACCTGCTCGACAGCACCTAACCACAGGGGATGGTCAGGGCAGTGGTGGCTCATGGTAGAACTACCACTTTCCATGGGGACCCAGGTTCAATTCCCGGCCAGTGCAGCTCATGTGTGACCACCCCTGTTTGTCGGTGGAGGAGTCTACGTTGCTGTGATGCTCAACAGGTTTCCACAAAACTTCTGTATTAAGATGGACTGGAAAGAAAGGCCTGGTGTTCAACACCCAAACTCAGCCAATGAAAACCCTGTGGATCACACGGTTCTGATCCATAACCAATCATGGGGAGGGCACAGGACCAGGGAGCATTTGGTTCTGTTGCTCACAGGGTTGACATGAATCAGAGCTGACTGGATGGCAGCTAACAAGGGATGGTCAGCACCGTGGACAGCTACCCACAGGCCCAGCATGTATCATTCAGGGTAGTTCTAATGAACCTTGCAACAGAACTCTAGCAGGAATCTTTCAGCCAAATGAAATTTCTTGCAACATCCCCAAAGTCCCTGGGTGGAGAGCTACGCTTGCTGACACATGTAGCAAACTGATATGAAAAATGTAATCCTACCGAGAAGGAAGTCCATTTCTTGGTTCTTTCGTAACAAGGGCAGAGACCGTGAGGCTGAGAGTGGAATAGCACGGTGCCTGCAGACATTCACTCTGCCAACATTTTAATGTACTCACTACTGTAGGAGCATCCCATCACCTCAAGCACGCAGGCTGGCTCCCCACGTGGCCTGACGACCCACCAGAGTGGTGCTTGGAGATAAAGCCTCCTTTGAATTTTCAGAATCATTAAGGGTTCTGTGCCACTGCTCAGGGAAACACAATTAGGACACAGTGTTAATACTGACTAATGACTCTCCCAGTGGAATCTGGCCTCCACCATACCTGTTTCCCAGAGGGTTCACTCATTTCTCTGTCTGCTGCAATAACAGCTTGGGCATGGGCCAGTGACTTGGAAGGCTTCCCTCTCCAATTTCCTGTGTATAAATCAGATCCCAGGCATAGGGGAGCTGAGGGTGCTACCGGATCAGAGAAAAGATGTTGCAGATTCTGCACTTCTTCACCTCAGGAAGCAAGGCGGAAGGAGGGGTCAGGGAAGGAAGGAATTAAACTGGAGCCAGAGAATTCCCCTACAAGAGGGGACATGGGTTCCTGAATGCAAGCCAAGACATCAAGGTGTGTCGACACCACTGTAGTGAGGGGCAACCAGGATGGGGAGTCCAAGAGCAAGGTCCGTGCTCAATCCCTAAGCAGCACTATGACATTGGGGAACAGTGCCTGCCCACTGTCTCCTCAAATCACCTCTAGGTTGCTGCATATTCTGTTCCATTTGCCTAGATTTCTCTTTCATCCTTAGTGACTTGAGTGTGGGCTTCTTCCTTCCCTTCATCAGACAAAAGTCCCATCCACTTTCAAAACCCTAATTCAATGCCCCCTCCCTGCAGAGCCTCCCCCAGGGCCACTGCCGCTCTCTGGGCCTCAGGGTCTGAGAGTGTAGAGTGGAGACATAAGTGAGGAAGGTCTCCAGTGGTACCTCCAACATGCATCCAGCTCATGGCCGCTGCTGCTCTGGGTGCTTGCTTGTTCACGGCTGTTCATGGCTCTGCCTTCTCACTTGGAAATCTCCGTAGAATGAGATTCAACTCAAATAGTACTCCTGCGAGGGTCCTTGTTACACATGCCCCTGCTTGAATGGATACCACTGGGCTCAAGTCTATCTCATCACTAGACAGTGAGCTCCCAGAGGGCAGAGGCTGGATTTATTCCCGGCCCCTCTCCCCTAGTCCCTCCATGCCGAGTGCACCTGGAGCTCATTCCGTGACTCCCAGTAGAATGGTGGTCCTGGTGCTCTCTCCACACACCATGTTGTCAACTGGGAGCTCACTGGGAGGTCCGACTTGACACACTGCAACCATCTGTCTCCTTACCCAAGTCACCTTCATGTGCATCCCAACCATAGCAGCCTTGAAGTTAATACGGCTTGGTGGTGTAGTGGGTAAAGCATTTGGCTATTAACCAAAAGGTCAGTAGTTCAAACCCACCAGCAGCTCCATGGCAGAAAGATGAGGCAGTCTGCTTCCATAATGATTTACAGCCTTGGAAATCCAATGAGGGTCCATATGAGTTGGAATTGACTTTTTAAAATTTTTTAAAATTTTTCTTTGGATCCTGCAGCTGAAGGTACCCAAGCTTCAAACCTTGCACAGGTCACAATTATGCCACTGCCTTTCAGAACAACTGTGGTGGACTTAAGAGACTCCACACCTCTCTTGCACACCTGGGGTCACCACAAGTTGGAAATGACTCGACAGCAGTGGTTTCTTTCTTATACCTAAATACAAAGATGCTTTGCCCACATGAGGCAAAACACCACCGGTGGTAATTCTGTCCTTGCAGACTTGGCAAGATGAAGGGGCATCAGTATTCTGGCCAATCTCAGGGGCTCCTCTCCTCAACACCCTTCTCCAGCCCTCCCACTGCTACAAGGCAACTCATACCTGACTTGCAGAGCCTGGGGAGCTGTGTGCGTGAGGCTCTTATCTCAGCTGACTGAAAACTGACCAAGTCAACTCAATGGCAGTGGGATTTTGGTTTCCTCCCACTCCCAACTTGGAAAATGGAGAGCTTTTCCAGTGACACTCAAACCAGAGAACTGATATGTGAGGGATGAATTCTACGGGAGCATTAATGACATAAGTTCTGGTGTTGGTTTAAATCCTGGTGCTGCTGCTCACAAGCTATGTGACTGTGACACTGACCCTCAGTTTCCCTGTCTGTAAAATGGGCATAGGAAAATGTTGTTACCATTGTTGGTAGGTGCCAGTGAGCCGATTCTAACTCATAGCAACCCCAAGAGACAGAGTAAAACTGCCCCATAGGGTTTGCTAGGCTGTAATCTTCATGGGAGCAGATCACTGAGTCTCCTGCAGAACCGCTGGGGGATTCGAACTGACAACCTTTCAGCTTGCAGCGAAGTGCTTAACCATTGCACTGCCAGGGCTCCTGCTCACAGGTAAATAACAGTGCCTATTTCAAGGGTCATTATGGGGATTAGGTGTGCTGATCCATGTAAGGCATTTAGAATGGGACTGTGTGCCATCATCATCATCGCCAAAGGCAACTGCTCTCAAAAGACCAGGAAGCACAGGCCAAGCTCAGGCCCCAGCTCAGTGTGTGAAGGGGGAGACAGGTGAGAATGAGGGGTGCAGTGGTGCAGGGCACCCAAGCAGGAGAGGGAGATGGGAAAGAATGCGGAAACCTTCAAAGTAGCTGGAGCCAGGATGGGAGGCGAGGGTGGGGCATGACTGAAGGGCAGGTCAAGGGGTCAGAGTGCTGGGGAGCCGTGGAAGGCTCCAGGCAGACATGCAGGGATGCACTAAGGGGTGAGGCACCCACCCAACAGGTCAGGGGTCCTGGGAAGAGTGATGGGGTGGTAGTCGACTCACGTACACCTGCGGGCCGACTCCTGAGCCAGCTGCAACCGGTAGATGGAGAGGCGGTTGGCGCCGCCACACACGTTGCTCCGCTCGCCCTTGCACTCCATGTCGCACTCGGCCTCGCTCACGTTGGCCGCTTGGATCTTGTGGCCACAGTAGCACTCGGCGCCGAACTCCAGCCCAGCATACAGGTAGCCCCTGCGTGTGGCTGGCATCAGGCCCGCCAGCCAACCACACAGGGACCTTGGGCATAGGGACCCTCACCCGTGTTGAGACCTGGGGGATGGGAGGGTTCCAGGGGACAGGGAGACCCACCCAACCTGGAGACCTGGTAGAAAGAGGCGCCAAGGCCCAGGAGACCCCAGGAGAGACAGGGACACAGGAAAGGGGCAGAAAACCCTGGAGGGGATTCTGAGGGAACAGGGGAGGCCTTCAGAGGCAGAGAAAGCCAAAGAGATCTAGGGGGCAGTGATGTTCCAAGGGATGGGTATCGTGGGCTGATGTAGAGACCCACCCAGAGAGTCTACAAAGGACAAGGGGTAAGGAAGTCTGCTGGGGCCCTTGAAGGCCAAGGGGACATAAGGGAGGCCCTTGGGAGAATAAGGAGACTCAGAGAAGGAACAAGAATACCCCAGAAGGAAGAGCAGTATTCAGGTGAGACCACCCACTTGCCTTCATCCCTACCTAAAGTCTTCCACCCCCTACACACCACTTACCTAGACACCACGTCCACACTCACACCACCTGAACACACCTTCCGCTACCTGGTACACTTGTCTGCATGCACACGCACACCCCGATGCACATGCAGGGTCCTCTTGCTCCACCCTAGCTGGAGATACTGGAGACATGAGAGATTCCTCCCTCCAGAGCTGAGTCCCTCCCTTTTTTCCCAAGAAACTTCCTGCAGGAAGCCACTCCCACGTCCCTCTAGAGGAGCTGTGAGGAGAGGAGGAGAGACGAGAAGCTTGGGGAGCAGGTGGGGTCTTGCATATCCCTTTGGAAGATGGCAAAACCACAGCCATTGAATCTGTCCCCAAGAGGGCTTTGGAGACCCAGTTTATAAACAGACAGAAAGACGCTGCTTGTTCTGAGGGAAGGTAGAAGATCCACTTCGCTGGCCCATCTTCCACGGCAATATCTGAGGAGTCTGCCAGAACCCTGAGGGCTCCTTGGGAAGCAGCCTGGAAGCCACTGGTCTTGCAAGGCAGCACCAATGAGAACAGTCAGCCATCATTTCACCCTGGACTGCGCAGTGCTGGCTGGAGACTGGCTTCCCCGGACTCGACCCCGGACACACCTGGCTACTAGAACAGTACCTGGCCTCGTCCAGTCCATATGCTCACCTGGACAGACGTGGCAAGTGCACTTTAAACTAATGGGGCATCTTGGTGTCTAAAGCCTGGGCTGGGGCTGGGGTAGGAGCAGGTCTCTTTCTTCCACCTGTCTCTGTCTCTCTCAAGCCCTGGTTCTCTGGTGTTCCTGGGGGTTCCTTCTTTAATGGTAAAACTTCTCAAGAAAAAGGGCTCAACGACTGTTACCAGTTCTGAAGAGGCATGAAGGATGAAGTCTGAGGTGGAGGACAATTCACGAGGGGGAAGAAGCACTCAGAGCAGGATCCACTGGCTTCTAGGCCAGGAGAAGAACCCCACAGGGACCCCACAGGGCAGGAGGTGTAGTTTCAAAATATTTCCACAAGCTCTCTGATACTCCTTCCTTCAAGGAAGCACATGTCTCCTCTTGAGCGTGGGGCTGGATTTAGTGAATAGAACATGGTGGAAGAGATGGTATATGACTTCCAAGCCAGCTGCCATGTTGTGAGGACACTCAAGCAGCCCTACGGAGGATGGTAAACCCATGTGATGGAGAACTGAGGCCTCCAGTCAGCAGCCATGTGAGTGAGCCACCTTGGAAGATGCAGTTGAGGTGGGAAGACCTATTGACCTTCAGAGCTGACTGGTGAGAGTTTGAAGCCTCTTCACAAGCCACAAGATCAAGGGACCCAGAGCAAGGAGAGAACCCATGAGACAAAGGGAGGGAAGGTCAGCTCAGCCTCACAGCACCCTCCAGGCAGCACTCCTGGCCTCACTGTTGCCCGGGCCTGTCCTGCACCTGCTCTTCAGGCTTTTGTGGATTTGTACCTCTTGGAATGTTAACTTCTCCTCCTACCCCCTTTCTGGTACATGGTCTGATGAAGAACATCATCTTACACTGGGGAACACTGCTTAGGCAGGTAAGTCTTCCTGAGAGAAAAACAATTAAATTCCCTTGATACCCAAGCCCCCTGCCCCACTCTTCACATGGACACCCTGCACACCTCACACTCACACCCACAGACACCCAACTGTGTATTTCCAAGTTGTCTGCATTTCCACCCAATGTCAGCACAACCTTGCACATTCAGCAATGCAATCACAGACAGCTGCATACACAAACACAATGCCAGACCCTTGCACACATATTCACAAAGACTTGGGCATCCACATACTACTATTTAAAGACAATTACATATTGGCCTTAAGCTCACAAACATAACCAGCCCTGGGAACACTCTCTCAACTACAAACTCACAACCAGGCACAATCTCACACAACTGCACAATCACGAATTCCCACCAACCAACTTCCATCTGCTCATTCACACATGTGTGCATGCACATGCATGCACACATGTATTTGCATCACCCTTTCCCAGTGGCTACGTGCTCATGTTCCAACACAACCTTCCATGGGAAAGGAAAGGACATCATAGATGGGCCACTGAGATGGAAGGGTCTGAGACCAATGGAGCCTGAAACATCGGGGCCCTACCGTTCTGCACAGTTGTCCTGGCAACGGAAGACAGTCATCTTTTTGTAGTCGAAAAAGGACATGCCTCGCAGAGCCCGACTCTGGGTATCATCCAGATAGCAGCCGATGTACTTGGCTTTGGGGAGAGGACAAAAGTCAAATGTGGCTGGGGACAGAGCTGACAGGGTTACAGGAGGAAGCTTCTCCAAGGCTCTGGGGCCTTGTTGACCTTTTATGAATCAATTCCTTCCTCTGAATAGAAAAACAGAAACAAGAAGGACTGGCATTCATGGGCCTCGGCAGAGTCTTGTCCAATAAAGGCAGTGAGTCTAACAGGTAGTGCTGTGGACCTTGGAGGCCAAGAGAGGAGGGGGACCCTCTTGTGGCTGTGTGGTCACAGTCAGTGTCTGGCTATAGGGCTGACATGTAGGCAACCCAGAAACCCAGGTCAGTGTTATCCTCTAATTACCTAGCAGGACTTCTCGTCTCGTCTAGGATCACTGCCATATTAAGACAGCCCTGATGGGCTTAGCATTTGCCAGCATGGTGCTATTTCTATAACCTGCTTTGAAATATTTTTCTTAGAAAGGACACAAAACTTGGATATTTCAAGGTCGAGGTCCTGCTGCCACTTACTAGCACTAGTCTAGGGACTTTAAACCAGTTATTCTCTCTGCATCCTAGTCTGTACGGTGGGGATGAACGGTTAAAACAGAAGGATGTGAGTAATATTTCTATCATAAAACCCAAATTCTCATTGCCATTGAGGCAATTCTGACTCACAGCAACCATAAAGGACAGAGTAGAACTACCCTGGAGGATTATGTTTACGGAGGCAGGCTGGCACATTTTCTTCTGCAGAGCAGCTAGTATCTTGCATATGTTAGGCACAAAGTTAAAGAAAGACGAATAAGAAACTGACTGTTCATAGTGCCATATACAGCATTTTATAGTTTTCTCTACCCCCCCAATTTTTTTTAATTATGGAAAACCACCCTCCAATTGTAAACCATGCACTCACTTTTCTCAGTCAACATGTCCCTTTTCTTCATGGTAAATAGTAACTCACACATAAGGTTGAGACTACAGTTCATAAAGTCTTTTCCTGTATGTTCTTCAAGATAGTATCATTAGCCATGCACTTCGCTCACTGTTTTACACATACTGTCTTACCAAATCTCTAAATGAGAAAACTGAGGCCTACAGAGGTTAAGTCACTTGCCCAAGATGCTGCTTGGAAGTACAGAGCCAGAACTGGCCCCAGGTCATCTGGCTCCAGAGCCCATGTCGGAACCACTGCTGCTTCTGCCTCAACCAGGGCATCTTTGCAACGATCCACGTGAAGTACGGGAGGTGCTGGCAGCTCATGCCATCTCCTTAGATGAGTGAACAGAGGCCCGGACAGGGGAAGTGGCTCTCCCAAGGCCCACAGCTAATCGCTGGTAGAGTAAAGATTTAAACTCAGGTCTATGGGACTCCAAGCCAGTGCTTTTTCCACCATTCCCCTGCAAGCCTCATCGGGAATGAATAGGGGGAAACACTAATTGCCACTCCATCATGGGCCCTGGGTAGGCCTCTGCTTGGTTTGAACTGTGGGTTTCTTGGCTCTTCTCACTCACAGTGGTGAGCAGAGTCCACTGGAGGATGTGGGTACATCACTGAACAGCCACACCCCCTCCATGTCACTCTGTGAGTGCAGTACTTCCCAGCCCCATTACAGACGTGCCTTGACCCTGGTCACTTTGATTTCTTTCATAAGACAGAGGTGAGGTGGTTGACTAAGAATCCCAAAAATGAAAACCAAACCCACTGCTGTCGAGTTGATTTCAACTCATAGCGATCCTATTGGACAGAGCAAAACTGCACCATAGGGCTTCCTAGGCTGTAAATCTTTACAGAAACGGACTGCCACATCTTTCTCCCACGGAGCAGCTCATGAGTTCAAACCGCTGACCTTCCTGTTAGTAGCCAAGTGCTTACCAACTGCCCCACCGGGGCTCCTCCTACTAAGAACAGTCCACCCTTAAAAGAAGCATCATCTCCCCTGGAGCAGGCACATCAGCAGGTGATGGTTGTGGAACAGGCCATGTCCTGTCACTGTGCTTGTTCACTGGTTTACTCTGGTTGTTGTAGAGGGGCTCACAGCCTCATGGCCTGGTCAGGGTACAGCTCTCCTGAGCTGGGAGGGGGAACTCTCCTTGGTCACGATGGTGAGGGTTGAACAAGGACGTCAGCTCAATGGCTCACCATTGGACAGTGTCCACAGATGTATTGTAGGAGGTTCAGGGGAGGAAATAAACTGTGGAAGAAAGGCAGACAAGGAAGACTGGGAAGGAGGGAGGAAGTGAAGGGGGGTGAAGAAGAGGAGAGGTTGGTTTATTTTGGCAGAATGAGATCTTTGCCATCAGATCAGCAGATATTTTGGGGGGGGCAGGAAGGAAGAGAGGCAGAGAGAAACAAAATGTGATAGAGCTGTGTGTCAACTTGGCTGGACCACAACTCTGTGTGGTTTAAGCAATTGTGATATGGGTTATTCCAATGATGGGATCAGATGTATATGTTTTGAGCAGCCAATCCATTGAAAGGGAGTTTCCCTAGGGGTGTGGCCTGCTTCCAGTATATTTATGGACATCCTGGGAAAAGAGACACTCTTCTGTGGATCAGGATTCTGTCGTGCTGCCTACAACTGTCTGTGAGTGAACAATCCACCATTCAGCCTGAAAATCTTGGATTCATCATTCATCGAAGTCAACAGCCAGTATACTGCCTGCCAACCTTGAGCTCCTCAGCCCCTGCAGCTGCATGAGTCAGGAAACGCCTCCAGCTTGATGTTTGATTCAAGAACTTTGGACTTGCGAGCTTCTGTAAATGTGCGAGCCATTTTCCTAAAATAAATGTCCCTTTCTCTCTATATATAAGCTTTACTGGTTTTGTTTCTTTAGAGAACGCAGTCTAACACACAAAACTACCAGTAGAGCCCCTCCTAAGTGACACCATTTTACTATGGGTCATGCTACATTTTTTTTTTTTAATTCAATACTCACAGTTCTTGTATTAACCCATTTTACAGACAAGGGAACCAAATGCAGTGACAATTACATCTGTCTGCCTTGGAAGTGAATCTTAATTTTGGCATATGGATGGTGTACGTTCTGAGTGGTAACTCCTCATGTTAGTTCTGTTTTTCCTCTTTCCTGAATGGAATTTTAAAAAATAAAAAAGTTTCCATCAAGCAAATTCAGACCCATGGAGACTGTGTGTGCATCGGAGGAGAACTGTGCTCCACAGGGTTTTCAGTGGCTGAGTTTTAGGGAAGCAGATCTCTGAGCCATTCTTCCCAGGTACGTCTGGGTGGGCTCGAACCCCTAAACCTTCAGTTAGCAGCCAAGTGCATTAGCCACTTGTCCCACCCAAAGGCTAGAAGCTAAGTAGTCTACCCAAGTTCCCACATCTTAAAATGGACGATCTATCCTTCCCTGATTGCACATGGTTTCTTGGGGAGGTTTCACTTCCTTTGGCCCAGAGGCTTCCAATCACAAAGAACCACCCTGGGACCTGCTGGGGGTGGAGTGCTCAGGCCCTAGACATGCTGGGCCTGGAGTTGGATGCAGTATGACTTCGGGTGGTTTCACCTTGGGGTAAGGATACGTGCATTTTGACTACATGTGGGATACAAGATTATGTTTCATGAAGAGATTTTAGAATGTAATGCATGCTATTGGAATGAACATGGATGTGTGCATGCATGAATGTTCACTATGAATTAACATGAGAATTAACATGAGTACCTACCAGCCAGAACAAATACCATACGCCAAAACTAAGATTCCCTTCTGCGGCAGTCAGATGTTATCAGTCAGGTGAAGGGGTGAACTGTAATGGGTACTGTTTGTGTCTTCAAAGCCTCTCCTCTTCTTGTTTTTCTGATAACAGATCTTATTTGCCTGACCACATGGGAGATACTAACTTGGTGGAGCCAATCATATTGTTCTCCCCAACCGGCCACAGCAATTAGTCCAGGGAAGGGTACATGACTCATTCCTTGGATTACACATTGAAGCTTAGAGAAAGCAATTGGTTTTGCTGAGCTATCATGTTGGCATTTTTATACCCAGAAATATCAACCACTACAACTGGCACCAAAGTCAGCTTATGTGAGAGAAGAAACAAGCCAAGGCAGACACAAGCAGAGATGAATGTTAGAGAGAGAAGGTCTCAAATAATGTTTTAAAATCCAGTCTAAGCACAGTTCTTTCTGCAGCTTGATGACAAAATCCAGCACCTTTTCTTCTTCAGCTTAACCTAGTTAAAGTTGGGCTTCTGTCCTTTGCTGCCAACAGAGCACTGACTGATACACTGATCCAGTGTGAGGTCAAGTAACTTGCCTGAGTCCACCCAGCTATGAGGGTCTCAGACCAAATTCAAGTTCAGGCCAGTCTGCTCCAAAGCTACCCCTTCCCATGAGTCACATGAGTCCCAGCTTGGTGGACGACATCTCCATCCTTGGCCAGTCCATGTACAGGATGTAAGAAGGAGGGTCCCTTAGTAGAAGTAGGGTTTGATTACCACCTGTTTCTAGTACCTGCCTCAAAGTCTGGGATCTTAAATGCTGACTCCCTCGAAGCTACTCTGTATGAAGAAGAACATGGCATCAGAATTGGAGGAAGACTCATTAGCAACCTACAGTATGCACATGACACAACCTTGCTTGCTGAAAATGAAGATAGCTTGAAGCACTTACTGGTGAAGATCAAAGACTACAACCTTCAGGATGGACTACACCTCAACATAAAGAAAACAAAAATCTTCACGAATGGACTGATAAACAACATCATGGTAAATGAAGAAGAAATTGAAGCTATCACTTATTTAATTCTACACAGATATACAATCAATGTCCATGGAAGCTGCAATCAAGCAATCAAATGACATATTGCACTGGGAAAATCTGTATCAAAAGACTTCTTTAAGGTTTTAAAAGCAAAGATGTCACATTGATGACTAAGATGCAGCTGACTCAAGTCATGGATTTTTCAGCTGCCTCATGCATTCGAAAAGCTGGACAATGAAAAAGATAGACAGAAGAAGAACTGATGCTTTTGAACTGTGGTGCTGACCAAGAATACTGAATACACC